AATTTATTAGGTGGATTGTAGGTGGTATTTACGAATCTAACAGTTAAATTACAGGACCAGAAGGCACAGGAGTTGGTGAAGGCTCTAAGGTCTGGTAGAAAAAGGTGATATTAAGGAGAATTATAAGGTGAAGAACCACAGATTATACAGAATTACCCTAGCGGACTACCGGCTGTATGTGCCGTATATGGCGAGACTTTGACGAGGCGAAATGACAATGGTCATCCTGTTGTAGAGAGGTGTCTCAATTGGTTCCCTAGGAAAGTTTTGCGAAACGAGGTATCTGATCGAGACCATTAAAGGGATGCTAGGGGGTTGTGGCGGCTGCCTCTCTTACGCAATATCCATGCATGGATGAACATGATAAGTGCGATGGAATGTTGGGTGAAAATCTTGAGTATTACTTTGGCGAAATTGAACCAGGTTTGCCCTATACGATTTTTGTTTTGCATTCACCACCGAGGCAACTGTACCATCGAAGATGGGAACATTATCTACGTAAATAACTTACAGTTACTTCAAATTTTTTGATTTGTATAAACCAGCGACCGATTATGTTATTTAAAGTAATTTTATTATTCCTAAAGAAACCGACCCGTGAAAATTATTCACATTAAACAGTTTTTGTATTGTGTTTATTAATAAGAATCGAATCCAAACAAAAGATTTTTGGTTATTTGGTTTCATCCATCGGAAAATTGTGCTTAATTTTAATTTTGTTTGACAATCACACGTGTGTGTATATAGCACGTACCAAGAATTTATTATGTCTAAATAAAATCAAGTTTTAGATAAGGATTATTACGTGATCACGAGCATTTTTTTGTATTTCTTTTTATGAGCCAAACCAATGTACCACAAAAATTAGAACCCTCACAGGTGAGGGTTGTTATACCCATCTACAATATCGAATTTCTAGAAAATGATGTAATTTAAAAACGGAAAGAGATTTTATTCTCCGGCGGCGATTAGGGGGTTCCTTGTAGATCCTCCAAAGACATTAGGAACGACATTATTTTATGAACTACACAAGTTACATACTATCTGTAAGAGCGAATTTCATAGAAAATTCGGTAATTACAAAACGGAAAACGATTTTATTCTTCAGAAACAATTAGAGGTTGCTTGTGGACCCTAAAAAAATATATAAAAATATGTTATGAACCACAAAAGTTACAACCCCCGCAGTTGAGGATTGTTATACCTATAATCGCGAATTTTCTAGAAAATTATGTAATTGGAAAACGGAAAAGATTATATTATTCGGGAGTAATTAAAGAATTACTTGTAGATCTTTCAAACAATGCCGACAATATGAACAAAAATATTTTATGTGGCACAAACGCCTGCAACTGATGATATAATAGCGAATGTTCTAGATAATTATGTAATTACAAAAACGGAAAACTCATCAAGAACAGTTAGAGGGTTCTTTCTAGATATTCCACGCAATATATCGACAACAGCAACAAAAATATTTAATGTGTATCAAAAGTTACAATTACCGCAAGTGAAGATCTTTATAAAGAGAACATGGAACATGTACCTTGTCAGTTTCTGGATATTTCCAGTAGCCTAAATAAATATATTATAAAACTGTACAACTTTTTTCTCTTCGGCTCGCCGTGAACGCATCAATGAGAAGCAATATTTTGTCCATGCGACCTGTGTCTTTCGTTAATGTGAAGACTAATCAAACATCCGAAATGGAGACATGAACATTTCTTAGAGTTCATGCACGATCTTTCTATATAAAAGAAAACTACCCACAATAAATGAACCATTGAATTTAGGCTGATTGATTATTGAAATTATGGCGTAAAATTTTAAATTCCTAAACCAAAAACAAAACTCGAAATTACACTAAATTCTAGAAGCTCTTCAATTTAGTACACATTACTATTAATATAAAAATTTCAGATTGATTGAATCCTTTTGACTACTCAATCAAAAGTTTTACGTTATCTTTTCTACAAATTCTGTTTACATCAGTTCTTAAAGGTATTCTAAGTTTACTTTGAACACTTAAAATAGAAACAAATAGAACGATATCTTGGACTACGACTTTCTCATTCTTGAAATTCTCAACTTCGGGATGATAACTCTTTTTCACACCGAAAATCTAAATTCCCTTTTTATTCAAATCTTGCGATCTTCCCCGATTGAGGAGAAACTTAATCTGTTAACATTTTCAAAAGTGAATTACCCCCTCTTTAATTACTGAGTAAAATTTTGAACGTCCACAATGGCGAATTTTCACTTAAAATGGAGATGTCTAAATTTTCATTGGTTAGTGTCTTTCTTACTGCCAATCCCAGATGATACCAAAGGTCGTTAATTATTTAAAAAAACGAACGTTCAACATTTCTTGAGTTAATGTTTGATCACAGGGTGACCTAAGAAACGAAACCCAATATCTCCGTTAAAAAACCTGCAATTCAAGCTACATTCCCGCAATCTTGACTATTTAAAGGACCAAGTTCTTTACATCATCATGACCAAAATTTTTTTGGGAAGACACTACAGAACCTCGACATCTTTTTACAGCTTTAAAAATGACAATGCGAATGCTTTCGTTACAATTCCGACAACATATCTGTGTATGTATTTATTAATGCAAAAGAAAAAAAATACTAATCGGCTTGAAGTATTAAAGAAACCTGAAAGAGGTTCTAATGATTTATTATGTGGTTCTGACAACACTAGAGCTTGATGGCACTTAATGTTAGTTAAGTTTTGTTTTTTGTAAATTAACCGATGGTTCTAAACCTTTAATAGTTATGGGTCTAATTTTCATTTCATTCTTATTTTATTTCGCAACCATAACAAACAGCGATGAACTAGAGCTAACAGCTTTATATTATAGGTTTTGTCCAATTTTTTGCCTCTTGATGAAATTTGGTATCTCACTGCTTTTTAACATGGAAATGAGGAAGTTTTTGAAAATATAATATTCAAAAAATCCAATGGCAATTTTTGATTAGGCAACAAACACTTTGTTTTTGAAAAGTGGCCTTACACAAGTTTGTTTTTTTAAGGTGTGTACTAGCTGTACTAGCAGATCAAATCCAATGACCCCGTAGGGTCACACCAAGGTGCTCTGTCGCTTTTTTAGATGCGCTTTAGGAGTTTATTTCAGCTGTGGAAGGTCCCTTGAGTAAACTAACGTAAGACAGGTAAAAATAATACATCGAATCGACTGAACTAGTTACCGGAGCAATTTATCTCAATGTTATAATTTTTGGGTCAGTTTTCTAATCGCAATTTTCATATTTCAATTGTTAATTAACAAAGTGGAGCAGAGTGTTAATATTGAACCCCCAGATGCATTTGTCACCCATCAGTGGGGAAATTTAAGAAACCCCCGCACCAATTGGCTCACAGAAAGGAACTTTACATCCAAAAAAGTGTAGAAATAGGCAATCCTTTCGGAGAATTTTTCCTGTAAGTGCTTGTTCACAATGGACATAAGCGTTACAAAAACATAACAGATACATAAAACATAATATTGACATAAGACATAATTTTACGCAGGTGGAGAAAGTGTTCACAGTGACCGTAAGATTATAATTATCTGCGTAGGCGCAAATCCAAAATTTAAGCTCGGCAAAACGTCAAGAACATAGCAATATTATTTGTAGTGTATATGTGTGTGTCACTGAGATGGAAATTTCAACAGTTTTATTGCTTTTACTGTTAATAAGACAGAGAGACAAAGTTGTTACAAAACAAAAACGGCGTTGGTGGGTCAGACCTATAAATCGAGACCGAGAGAAAAGGGGAGAATTTAAGAATTTAAGCGTGTCTAGAAATGAAGCTGCATGATGAAGAATGGTTTTTTTCATACACCAGGAATATTCGATCACCTATTAACCTTATATCTTTTGTCCCCTTTATTAAACAATTAGGGTTTTAATCGCACCAAACTAATCAATAATTCGACGTCTATATGTTTTCCATGCCGTGTTGGATATAATCAAAGAACAACACACGAAGGACCAAACCACACCAAACTATGAAAGAATGCGCCAAAAACTATGTACCAATTTAAAAATAACCAGATTATGTTGGCAGAAGAGATGTCATCGACGTTAGACGTAGTAACTGAAATGCCAAACCAACAGCGCAGTGCTGCATCTTTGTACCCAACAGAAATACACCTAATTCCACTAGATTTTTCATAAAACCTACGTAAAGTTGAAACCGACCAAACTTTATGTATTTTTTATGTACCCTTTCGGTAGGACATAAAACATACGCAAACATTTACAAAAAAATAAAAATTATGTAATCATTGTGAACACCTACGTTGGTTTGCTACTATTCAACATTATGAATTATGTATCTGTTATGTTTTTGTTACGCTTATGTCCATTGTGAACAAGCACTAATACCTCATTTATTAACACACATTTTTAATATAGACCAAGGTAATATCTGACTAAAACATTTCTAGTGTTAATAATTTTCTGATCATGACCATTTAGTCCGCATGTTTAAGTTAAAGAGCCACCGTTGACGTTGACCAAATCTGCAGTGACCATTTTCGAGAAAAGAAAGTTTGCCGCTCATGAAGAAGTTCCCTTATTCACGTAACACAAATAAATGCATCCAAAATTTTCATTGATAAGTCAGGAGCCAGAAGCGTGGCACATTTCTCATAAATGCGAAATTTAAGACAAGAGTCTTTCGTTTCAAGTTAAGGTCACCGCGCATACGATTGCATTACTTAAAACCTAATTTTGCTAAATTACACATAATAAAATTTAATTACAAGCGAGTGAAAGTATTCCCAAGCTGTAATTTATAAACTTAATTAGACCCCCGGGTATATGGAATATGCACCGCAAATTTTTGGAAAATGTACAAATTTCAGTTCAGGGGAAATTCACAGCGCGTGCATTTTCACTGAAATCGAAGAAAAGTTAAAGAAATTCGATTAGAAGGGAAGGGATTTGCTGGCATAATATCCAGTTCTTGTATATTTGCCACTGGTAAAGATTTAAGTGAAAGACAACCATAGACGGACTTCAGTGTTTGTGAAACTTGTGCAGCAAGATGGTGGCCAGGACTAATAGGGCCACTGTTGCATTTTTACGATTTTTTACTTTCATTGGTGAGTTTCTTTTTCAATTTCCTTGACTTGCTAAAGGCGTTTACGTTATATAATCCCAAATATTGAAAATGCACTTTATGGCAACAGTGAAAGTTTTGGGAATCTGATCCATTGAAAAAGGTGTTATAGAACGTAAAATTTATCCCGCGGGTATTAATTGAAGTATCAAGGTTTCGTGTATGGAACAAGGCTAAGCGTGAATAACTTTGGATTTGAATTGCAATTTTATTATTATTGATGTTTTCTAACAGCGTTTAATGATTAAAATTATACGGTACTTTATATAAACTTTATTGCACACAACTTGTATCAAAGGTGATACGATGATCAATCCTGAACGCAAGTATGTAACTTTCACTTACTGACGGAAAGGAAATTTTTAACTGCAGATCGTTTCAGTTTTATTCTCGTATGCAAAAACAGGAGTTAAAAATCACGAAGCGTAAAACAGTTTGAAAATGTTCTCATTTTGAATTAGATTTGCATCGTATGCAAGTGGATTGCAGCCATGCGAACTTGATTGTATCTTCCAGTTGTAAAGGAATTACCGTAATTCTGCACTATTCCATTTTCTATTTTCTGGTTAGAGCATCCACAAACGACTGAGTTGTATAATAGTGATTTCATCGTAATTAATTCCCAAGTCTCTAACCATTTTTAACGTAAACAAAAACAAACTAAAACAATGTGAAAGGTTTTTTATTAACTACACCGGTAGGTAAATGTTGTTCGATTGGCTGATTTGCAATTTAAATTGGGTTTACACGATTTGGGGTGTGTTTATACTTCCTTAATATACTGGATTGCGCGTTTGAAGTAACCGTCCAATATTTTAGTTGCATATGATACGGAAGACATTTAATCATATTTCGCCGGAAGCTGCTGAGAGTTTTTCTTCTAAAAATCTAAAAATAGATTTACTAGTCATACCTCACAAATCATTATTCATTGTGCGTGAATATGCCGTTAAAGTGGAGTAATTGACTAATAGCGTGTTTTCTGACCACCTTAGAATATAATAATTTCAAAGTATTTGAATAATATAGAAGTTTTGCAGCTTGCCCGATATTCGACATTATGTGGAAGTGTTTTAGGGCTGACTGTTTTAAAACCACCCAGTTTAATTAAATCAAGATATATGGATCTAAATTGAAATTTTTTATTTTAGCTAGCATAACAATAAGCTCTAATCAAAGAATAATAAATTTATAAAAAGTAAAATAGTTCCTCCATGGGGACCGAAGTAATGTGCTCATAATGGAGGCGGCGTTCCGCAATGCTTCTTCGCTGTTTGAGGTATTGCCTGGATCTTTGGTCGCCAGTTTTGACAGCGATACGTTTCCCAAGGGACTCAACAAGATTCTACTGCGAAAGGAGGGAGCAACAGTCTACTTTTCCACGGGATGCGGGACATTCCATCATGTGGCTTTCCGTCGGTTCTTGATAAACCTGTTGGCTCAAGAACAAAAGGGATATTCGCAGATGCCAAAGCTCTTCTTATCAGGTTGTGGCGACCAAATCTACCTGCACTCATCTGGCAACTTTGTCCATGTACCTACTCCGGTACGGCAAACGTTGCGAGCGAGCGACTGTAATTCGGAACGTCTTGTTGTCTAACATGGTTCCTATTGTCCTTGATCGAATTGCAGCGAGTCGTACACTTGGTTTTGGTGTTGTTGTGTTGTTGAAGCCAGATATTTTGCTTTATCCGATTGTAACTCCAAAGGCAGGTCTGAAATATGACGAACAATTGAGATACTGGGGTTTCCGTGTCATCAGGACAAAGGTTAGTCCATTGTGCTAAATCATCTTTGTAAAATGCAATCTCGTTGATGTTAGGGAGAGGGGTAGTATATCACAGACAAGAGCAAAAGCGCAATTTACTGAAAATAAAAACGCGGGAGACCGATATCTACAATTCGTCTTATCCTGATTCCACCGTGGTATGTTGGCAAAGCACTTCAAGTTTATTGTTCAAAATTTCTTCCAAAGTAATCTTGATGGCTTCATCAAAGTGTAGTATAGTTTTAGGTACCAATAGTATCCTCGAAGGGGTCGTACTGCATACCTTCTTACCAAAACGAATTGATACTACACGTCAAAAAATGGACCGTTTATGCGCAAATTTAACTTTCTTAGTTACAACACCGAAAATAAATCGCGTTAAATATTGCAATAGGCTTTTTCAATAAAGGGGGCTAAACTTCCCTTTTTCGAAAACAAAAATTTAACATAAAAACTATCTGGGTCGCACAAAGGATTCGAATAAACACAATTAATTGATTGACAATGACAAAAATTTATTCCGAAACATATGATATGAAAAATTAAAACAAAAAAGAAAGAAAAGCTTACAAAGCTTGTTTGGACAAATTACTTCGCAGGCAGACGTTCGATAAATAAAATAAGAAATTATTAAAATTACTTATTTAAGGAAACACCATTTCCATAATAAAATAAACGTCTTCCTTAAAAATTTTTTTAAAACACCCCCAATCATAATCAATCTTAATAAATAACGCCAGATTCGAAGGAACGTGTCGCGCGTAGAGAATGCAATCCCGCAGCAAAATCTCAATCCCGGTATTTGCGGAATTGTTAGATGTTAATCCTGTGGGACACCGCAATTTGCGGGATCTCGCAAAACTTTAAATAAATTGGCAAATAAGCAATTCTGTGCGGTTAACTTCTGTATTAAAATAAATCGCTAATTATCACAATATTTAACAAAAAAGTACCTTCGGCAGAACTCAAAAACACCTTCCCTGTAAAGCACAAAAAGTCTTCTAAGGTGCCTCAAAAATCATAGTACATTTTTAACGAAAAAAGTTTAACAATTATTTAAAAAGTTTCTATAGTCTATAACTTTTGATTGAGAAGTCTGATCGAAAAAGTACGAATTGTTTTGGATTCTACGCACCAAAATTAATAAGAAAAAGTGTTTTCCCGAGAAATTTTGGTTTAGTCGATTTTTGGTAAAAAAGGAAGGTTATACACTGCCTTTTTTTGAGCCCCGAAAAAAAAATTGTCTCAGATCGACCCGGAAAAAATTTTTCTTATAGAATGTGGCCTGTAGAATCCATAATTTCAAACAGTTCCAAGATTGGGCTACTAGTTCAAAAGTTACAGCCCTTTGAATTTTCTTTTGAAATTGGTTTCTAGTAGGGAATGCAATCCCGCAGCAAAATCTCAATCCCGGTATTTGCGGGATTGTTAGATGTTAATCCCGCGGGATCCCGGAATTTGCGGGCTCTCGCAAAACTTTAAATAAATTGCCAAATAAGCAATTCTGTGAGGTTAACTTCTGTATTAAAATTAATCGCTAATTATCTCAATATTTAACAAAAAGTACCTTCGGCCTAACTTAGAACTCAAAAAAACCTTATCTGTAAAGCACAAAAAGTCTTCTAAAGTGCCTCAAAAATCATAGTACATTTTTAACGAAAAAAGTTTAACAATTATTTAAAAAATAATTCGCCGTTAAGTAAACAGAGTCGTCCCCTTGGTCGACAAATTCCTTAGTCCCGCAAATCCCGCGGGATCCCGCTCCATTTATGTGCGGGATTAATCTCGCAAAAATTCTGCGGGATCCCGGTATTTCGGGATCCCGCAATCCCGGTATTGCATTCCCTAGTCGCGCGTGATTCTAATAGCTCTGTGTTTATTCGTAAATAATCTCTCAGATTCACACCCTCCTTTAGCGACAATGATCCCTGAACGTTAAGCGATGGATCATGCAAATTTGGAAACTTAAATTCTCAATTAATTCTTAATAATTAATTTCTGTTCCTAGTTTTTGCAGTATAAAAGTTGCAAGCAAATCAATTTTACTGAATATATACCACTGTTTGGGGTTAACGACAATTGTAAACACTTTGTCCCACTATCGTGAGTAGGAGAAAGCTTCAATACGTAACAAAGTGCCCTTTTTTTCTTATTTAGTTTTTCTAATGCGGTAATCCGAATTTTTTCGACGACGACCTAACTGAGTTCAGTCCCTTCTGCAAGCTCACAGCAATAAACGTTTACACATCAGTTCTAACAATAGCTCTTTGTATTCGTATGTAGGCAACAATTAAGAGAACTCGCGGTTTTACATTTTACGGTTTAAACACAAATACTAATGGCGGTTACGCTCAAAATTTGTTCACATTTTTTATTAATGGTCTTGCACTGGAAACAGCGGTGCTCGGAACTCCTTTCTCAAACTTTGCTAGGAAAAACGCGCGACACTATTAATTCTATCGCGATATTGAAGCAAAAAATAAAATCTGGAGTTGCGGTGTTGATTGTTTTCTCTCCGTGCATCACTCTCACACTAATAGCCCAGGTCCAGCCGAGAAACGACTGCGCAACTCAAAAACCAAAGTCAACACCTCTGCCAAAACTAACTGAACCCATGGCATATTATCGTCAAGTAACAAACCTGTCTAGTGACAGGGTCTACTTTGTGTTGTGAAAACGAAAGAAAAGGGGAGAGTTAACTTTAATTAAAACGTTATTAAAAATACAAATTCAAATCAATCGAGAATAGCTCTAGGGACTTCACCTTCAGTTAATTTCTCACTTCTTTTCCCATTTGCATTTCGCAATTACACATTATAATGGTTTTCAATCCGTACGACAACATCGGGAAACTTTATCTCCCTCATAATCGTGACTTTACACAGATTTAAAAATACTGTACCGCCATCTTTCAAGGACATGTGTGTATTTATTACGACTGTTATGTAACGGAACCTGACATTCACGGTACGAAGAATCCACATAATTAAACCTGTGATATATCAGAAACGTCGAACTTAACGTGTGTGCCAAAAAACGTTATTTTGCCTAGGCAAAATTACATTTTTGGCAGATAACCTGCACGTTAAGTTTAACGTTAGTGATGCATCTCAGGGCTGAATATATTTTTTTCTCATGGTTAAAAGCTTAGGCGCTTACATTAGGACATGACCAATGTAATTGCCTGTACTGGCTCCGGTGGATCTTGCTTAGGG